CCCCAAAACCCCAAAACCCCAAAACCCCAAAACCCCAAAAAGAATATTTTTAATTGAGCTCTTTTAATCTGCAATTTCGAGAGAGAATTCTACATCTGTAGAAACAGATATGATGAAGGTACCCTTCAGCTTTGGCTTGTAAGTCGTTGGCATGATGATGTAACCTTCGGGGTTTCCATCTAGCTCGAGGACTTCATTGTACTCATTCATTGGGACAAACTTCATTTCACTGATGCAGATTGAGGTCGAGAATGTGTTGGTACTAGGGAAAACATAGAATCCCATCATGCAATCAACAGCACTAACTGCGATTTTCTTCTTCCATGATTTCTCAGGTCTACTTAGAGTAATCTTTACTTCAGTTTTTTGAGTTGTGTGAAGCTTGAGCAAGAATTTAGGGTTGTTAATCCAAGTCTGGTTGTCGGGGAGATTTTCAAAGACAGAGTCATGCAAGTGACACCCTCCTGCACTCTTCTCATTCCACTCCCCTGATATAACCATGTTTTTAGAATCCTCAAGCTTCTCAATTTCAACTGGGTTGCTACTGAAGACAGTCAGGGTGTAATCAGAGTATAAATCTGCACCCTCAAGAGATGGAACTATTAGGAATGGTCCTTTAGTTGGTTTCCAGAAAGCATAAATAGCAGCAACATCTTCATTCTTGAATTGAGACTCAATGTACCATTCATTTGGTAATATTTGAAGTTTCCGCTCGAGATTCTCTAGTACAGGTGGAACAATTTCGGGAAAGTTGTCCTCTTTAATTATCCTTTTAGTAATAACAGAGGTAGTTTTGAACTTATTCTTTGAAATCCTGTTCATCCTTGTTGCCGCATTCATTCTAGTGGCAGCACCTTTTGCTGGAGAAAGTTCAACCCCGTCTTTCTTAATTTTTGAAGCTGGTTTTGAGGTTGGAGGCAAAGCTTTTGTGACACAAAGCCCGATATTTACGCCTTTTGTCTTCCTTCCACCTTTCTTTCTGAGAATAATTTTCAGATGTGTAGGCTTCTTCAAGTTTAAGAAATATTGAGGGTTTCTGCACCAGAATTTATTCTCTGATCCGTTTGGAAGAGTACGCCTTCCACCTGCAGTTTGAGGACCCCATTTGCCAATAGAGGTTTGCTCTATTGTTTCAGGAAGCTCAACAAGATCAGCTCTATCAGATGTAAATACTCTTAGGAAGAAAGGCCTCTCCTCATCTTTCTTATTCTCAACTTCAGTATTTGGCACAATAATATAATGAACAGGCTTTTTCTCATAAGTAGGGCTGAGGACTCATGTCATACAAATTTCTCTTTGTCCAAATCTTTGATGTCCCTTAGCTGCTTCCAAGACAATGTCGTCTTTGTCGACTTCCCACAACCTTTGCTTCTTCGATTTCACCCTTACCACCAAAAAGTTGACGGGGATATAAGCCTTTTTAGAGATCTTTTCATCTTCTTGCATCAAAGAAATATACACTTGGGTCTTCTTGTAAACAGATAATCTGAATTGAGGGTTGTTGAACCACTTATCATTGGTATCTAGCTGAGTATGCACACCTGTAGTTTCGTCCCTATCAACATCTGGAGGGTATGGACCACCTGCAGAATTGCCTTCCCAGTTTCTGATGATAGAATATTGCTCCCAGTTTTGAGGAAAGACTTTACAGACATAAACTCTGTTATAGTTATTGTACCAATCATCATATCTCATCCACCATGTTCCATCAGGATTGAAATCATAATTGAGTTCTTCTTTGAGTCCTTTAGCGTCGTCCCATGCTTCATCTTCATCTGCAAATCTTCCTGTCCATTCACCGTATCCCCATGGATTTCTGATTCTGATGAGCTGGATGCCTTGGGCAACCCTGATGTCCATGATACCATAGGCATGGTTGTATTGGATACCCTGGTTTCCAGCTCCTTCCTCTTGGTTTCCATCCTCGTCAATTTTGTTGTTGGCACATCCAAGGAGGTATCCAGCTTGGAAATACTTCCTCAGTTCTTTCCACAGTTGGCCATTTTCCATCGCATCCTTGACTTCTTCAGTGTGGAGGTAGATTTTCTCTGAAACACCACCTGTGAGATCTACAAGAGCTTCTGCCAGTGACCCTCCATTCAGGTTTTCGTAGTTCTTGTGGAGCTTGGCATATGCCTTTTCCATGAGAGGTACCCACACTTCTGTAGGATCAGCACAATGTCCATACAGGGGTGTCTTTATCTCTCTATTATATGGGAGACGTGTATCAACTAACACTTGTTGCCACTCTCCATTTTTGAAAAATTGGAACACAGCAAACCCATATTTGATTCCATCCTTAACAATTAAGTTTTGGAGGAGATGTGGACGAGTTGCAAGAATTAGGAATGCTCCAAGAAGCCAGCAGTCTCCGAGAGTACCCTGCTTTACATCACCTGAAGTCATTCCTTGAGAAATCATTTTGATTTCATCCTCATTCCCACTTTTTAGTGCTTCTTCTGGTCTCTTCCACTCTACAACAGGAGTGTTCTCAGCATAGTCTGGAGGCTCAGCAGGATTCTTATACAATGAAGCATCATTAGGGGAGAAGTCTGTATCTCCATATTTACCTTCATTTTGATGACAGAGCTCAATGATTGCTCTAATCTTGCTTTGCATGAGGTCCTCCTCCTCTTCTTCCTCTTCTTCATAATTATCTGGATGGATTCTTCCGGAGAATTGGTCTTCATTATCCTCGTCGTCTAGTCGTTTGGTCTCTTCGTCATCTCGCTCTCCGTATTGGTACTCTCCTTCGAGGTCTCTATCATACTGGGGCCCTTCAATTTGATGTTTGTCGTAAACTTCGTTTCCATCTGAGTACTCTTCATTTCTGTGAGAGCCCTCCATTGGATCTTGATTGTCTTCTTCCTCTGGAGGTGTATTGGGAATCATCATAGATTCCCTAATATTCCCATCATTTCCCCCGTTGTTATCGTCTAATTGCTGAGGGTGTTTCTCTTCTTCTAGGTCATTTCTGTGAGGTTCTTCCTCTTGTTTATCTTCTTCTTCATCATTCCCTTGACTCTTGTCAGGAGATTCGTCATTTTCAGTCTCATCTTTCTGATCTTCATCTTGAGACTCCTGCTGAGGGTCTTGATTATTGAGTTTAACTTCTTCCTCTTTGGCGTCCTTATCATCAGCGCCGATGGTTTCCTCAAGGACGTCATCTTGTCCCTCTCTTTGCTTCGAATTTTGGTCGACTTCCTTCATTCCTTCAGCCTCAGTTTCGATCTTTGGGCTGCCTTCGCCGTCCATCTATTTAAATTTTATGAAAAACAAATAAAGTTTTATATTATTTTATTGGGGTTTTGGGGTTTTGGGGTTTTGGGGTTTTGGGG